GAAAAGAATATGCAATTAACCTTTTCCTCTCCTTTCAACTGGCAAGAAATCTCCCTGCCACAGAAATAGTTTGAGGAGTAGGATATCTGTTCCCACAGCTGCACCAATGCTATTCTGGCTTAGCTAAAATTAAAGAGCTGAAGTTGTACGTGGGCCTTCATGAAACTGTCATGGGGACCACAAGATTAGAGGGCCGGATGGTGACCTGGGAGGCTGAGTCTATTCTCAGCTGCACCAAGGGATCCTCATGTGTGTCAGAACATGTTTCTCCACCCCTCTTAAATAAGAATCCTGAAATGGTTTGGCTTGAGGGGACCTTAACACCCAGTTCCAACCCCTTGCCATAGCAGGGACACCTTCCACTACCCCAGTTTGTTCCAAGCCCTGTCCAACCTGGCCTTGGACAATTCCAGGGATCCAGGGGCAGCCACAGCTGCTCTGGGCACCCTGTGCCAGGGCCTGCCCACCCTCATCATAATGACTTTCTTTGTCATATCAAGTATGAATATCCCTGCTTTTAATTTAAAACCATCCACCCTTGTCCTCTCACTATAGGCACAACTAAAAAACTCTTGTCTACATTTTTCTTCTAAGCCCCTTTTAAGAAAGACCAACATATCTTGCCTTGTCACCTCCAGCCCCCATCCAAACACTAGCCAGAGATCCAACAGCACTAAAAAACCCAGGAAAGCACAGGACAGCCCCAACATGCCAGCCACCATCTACCCCCTCTCCCACCACGAGCAGTCCCTCTGCCAACAACTGTGCTGGCTATTGTTGGTCACATAAAGCCCAGTCCAGTGGCCCTGCTGTCAGCATGCAGCTCATTACTCTGCCAAAGGCTTTGAAACGCTTGGAATATGAAAGGTGTTCCATAAGATCAGATTCAGCTTCGTTTGCTATTACAATGCAATGCATTTCTTTTGTCTGCGACTTTTGATGATGTGCAATTGTTCCCTCAGTCAGTATTTCGGAGTCATTAGTTGGAATTAGTAAAGTTCCCGCTGCTGGACTTTTCCAAGGCTCTGTTCTCGGGCTACAAAGAGTCGATAAGGAGTTGTCCTGCTTTCACTGAGCTGGAGGCACAGCAGGGAGCGTGCTGGGGGGAGCGGGCAGTCTGCTCAACTCCACTTTTCCCCTGCAGGCACTGGGAAATGCACATGCAGGAAAGATGCTGTGGGTGGTCACAACAGGGCTGGTGTTTCCCAGCCAGCAGGGAACCTGACACCTTTCATTTGCTACCTCTGCTGGGACCAGGGGAAGAGGTACACCTGAGTGTGTCCATATTTAGGCAGCACATCCCACAAAGTTCAGGTTTCTATTCCAAAAATCTCCCACTCCAAATCTAAAGGCATCAAGCCCTGAAGAAGTCTCCTTTCTCTGGGCGAAGGGATCTCTACTGGACATTTTCCTCAGTGAAAACACCTGGATGTGCCTGACCTTGTCCTCCAACCTCTTGTTTATTTTACACCTTACACCCTTCCAGCTATACCAGAAGGGCTTTTAGTACCAAGACCCTTTTTCCTGAAGGGATTTATATGTGGAGCATCCACTTCTCTGGGCAATCTGTACCAGGGCCTCACCCTCTTTTTCACAAAAAATTTCTCCCTTCTATCTAGTCTGAATCTCTATTTCTGCTGTAAAACTATTCCCTTTTGTCCTGTCCCTGCCTGCCTTGTCCCCAGTCCCTGTGCAGCTCTCCTGGAGCCCCTTGAGGCCCTGGCAGGGGCTCTCAGCTCTCCCTGGAGCTTCTCTTGTGCAGGATGAGCACCCCAAGCTCTCCTAGTCTGTTCTCTGATCAACTTTGTGTTTGTCTCTAATAGAAGATTCGTTCCTATTCATGCCTGAGGAGGTCCCACATAAAAACAAAGTGATGAAGCTCCATAGGCTGTGCCCACCTGATGCCATTGTCTGGACCCAAGGGCACAGCTCAAGGTCTGAGGACCACAGCAGCTCCAACTCACACCCACCCCACCTGTGGGTGGAAATTCTAATCTAAATTACCAATTCCAGCCATCCCACCACCTTTTCTGGATGCAATGTGGGTATTTGGCCACTACAACCCTGAAACAAAACTAGGAGCAAACCAAACTTATGGGGAAGCCCTTGTGGAGAAGAGCTCAGCACTGAACCCAGCTCCTTTAGCAGCTGGTCACCTTTCACATGGGACTGTACTTCCAACCCCTAAGAATTTCCATTAAATTCACTTCATTTCCCTGAAATTCACCTCATCCCACCTAACATTCACAACAGCATTTCCACTGGGACATGACCAAATCCAGACAATTCACACCTCCCACCTTACATTTTTTAAAGTAACAGGCTACAATAAAGCAGCCTGCCCAGATTCCAGCCTAATCTAAAAACAACTTTATGGCTTCTAATTTTAGCACTAATCTTCCTTTGCTATGGTTGTGTGATTTCTAATTATTTTATCCCCAAGCCCTGCTTTGATGGATAGTTGTACCTTTTCCAATGGCAAATGACTTGTAAAGTGCCTTTAAAAATACGCTGCTCATTTCAGGTTCATTTCTAGTTCCTACACAAATAGCATTCTCATATATGGCTTCACTGCAGAATTATTATTATTAATTATTATTATTATTATTATTATTATTATTAATATCATTATTAATATCATTATCATTATTATGAAAATAATAGTAATAAAAGCAATGCAATTTTAAAAGGAGAGCTCCATTCCTTAGGATGATCCCAATCTGCTCCTGCAAACACTGTATTTTCTCTTAAAAGCTGATAAAGACCAAAAAATCTGCTATTGAGATATAGATCTCTTAACAACTCCGTGCCTTGGCTTGGCATGGCTCCCAGAACACGTTGCCTTTTTCTATCCCTATTTTCAGGCTACAGCTCAGGGAAGAGCAATTGGCCACACCAAAACCTCTGGATGGGGGGGACTTTGCAAGGGGCGAAATGGTGGCAGAGACACATTTGCCTTGATGTTCCTCTGGAGCCTTGCCTACCCAAAATTGCTGCATTTAAAGCAGCAAACACCAATCCTCAGCTGAAGATGTGTTGCAGGGGCTTAGGATGAGCATCCAGCCCACAGGCTGGTGTTTTCTCACAATCTCACCTTGCTCACCTGAAGCAACCTCTTGACCCTCCTAATTGCTGACCTAGATCAAATCTGAAACCAATTATTGCACAAAAATTTACTGGGGAGGAGATGCTGCCTGAGGACTGTTTCAGGATGCTGAGGCAGCTGCCTGCCTGTGGCATGTCCCAGTAGGACTTGCCACCAGCAGCCAGCACCTGAGCAGGGGACACAGACACAGGGCTGGTGGATGTTTGTTGGGTTATTTCCTTCCCCAGGATTTATACTGAGCTCAGGTCAATTGGAAAACATCCACTTGACCTGCGACCTTTTTGTTTTAGTTATTCTCCAAGCTTTGACAGCAGCAGCTTAAACACAAAGCATGTGACTTTTGGCACTGAGGTAGCACCCCATTCCCACAAATTCTGAGTGTATATGGAAAAACATCCCACTGCAGCCCTGATGGTGAATGTATTCCTTCTTTCTCATTCTTTGTTTTCCTCTCTTTCACTTTCTGAGCCTGTTTCATGACCTGTTTATTCTTCCTCCCTGCTGGAAACATGAGCTTAGCTCTCCAATGCAATATTAAAAAGAGGAGGACATGGGATGTGGTGTTTGAATTCCCTGCACAAGGCTGCGTTACAGAGCACTTGAAATGGAGATTGTCAAAACAGGAAACAAGCCAGTCAAAGTCCTCTTGCCTGAGTCCTGAAAATGTCACCACACAGAGCTGCAAGGGATGGAGAAAAGCCCTCTGTTACTGCATGGACACAGGATGCCCTGGGAGAGTGGGCAGCAAGACCCTCTGCCCTCCTGCCACTCTGATCTGAGAGCTGAGCTTTAGCCTCTGCTGAAATCAGTGTGGAACTGGTTTTTATTGACCTGGCAAAAAACTCAGCAAATCAGGTTAAAAATTATAACCCTCTATTGATTTGCTACTTCTATCAGCGTGGAGAATTTTGTATGGAATGTCATCTCACTCAGGAAGTCAATCCAACAGGAAATCCTTCATCCTTAGTGCTTCAGAGTAACATCCACAGCATCCTGCTTCCTTCTTACTCCCTTTAAAACCCAACTCTGAGATATCCTCACCTCTCCAGCTCGTGCTCTGTGTTTGAGCTGGCCTTGCTGAGATAAAAGACATATATTGGGTCTAATCCTGCCCACAGTCCCCAGGCAAAGCACCATCTTCATCTCCATGAAGATGCAGAGCAGGACAATGCCAAGCCCCAGGCCCTTTGATTTCCATCTATCCACCTTGGAGCAAGGATTTAAAGTTCCTCAAAGGCACAACAGGTCTGGAGGAGAAAATAAAGCTACTGTAAACCCAGACAAATAAGATGCTGAGTTCATTTTAAAAAGAAGGCTCCTGCAGCTGTAGGTTTTGAGCAATTCTTAAAAGACTGATTTGAACAAGCATCCATGCCAACAAATATTAACATTTTAAGCTTTTGACTGCTTTTGATGGTAGTGAATATCTTTTTTTGATATTGACTGATTGTTTTCACAGCTCTCTGCAAGTTAACTTCAGGAGAACTTCCCAAACATAAGAGCTGGTGACCATTACCAGAATGGTGATCCAGAAATTCCAGGATGCCTCACCCTGAAAATATTCAAGTTAAGTTGAATGGGACTGTGAGAAACCTGGTCTAGTTGGGTATGTCCCATTATAAGGGGCTTGGATTAGATGGTTGTTAGAGTTCTTTCAACACAAACCATTCTATGAGTCACCCTCTGGAAGCAAGGCCAGTATTTTGCTTTATGTTTGAGGGATCAGTGGTTTTATTGTAGTGCCCAGCCACTGATCTAGAGTGACAACCTTCAGCAGGAAAAAAAAATCCACAGTTTCATGGAATGAACAACTAGAAATGTAATTTCAGATCATCTGTATAGTCCAGAACAGAAAACTTCCCCCATCATCCAGGCAAAGAATTAGAATAATTACCTAGAGCCTGATCCTGAAAGGTGCTGAGTGCAGTTAAGTGGTCTCCGCTCATAGAGTTCAGTATCTCAGGGGCTCTCAGCAGGGTCAGTCTTGAAGCCTGAGCAAAACAAGATAGTGTGTTAGTCCAGTTATTTGTAAATAAACCTACGCAGCCTATAATTTAAAAAAAAAAAACAAAAAAACAAAAAAAAAAAACCCAAAACAAGGAAATCAGGCCAGCCACACTTTCCTGTATGGGGAATTAACTCAATGGTCACACAGAGCATGGCTGAGGAGATGCTCTCCAACCCACAAGCCTTCTCTGCAGATCAAGATGGATGCCTGCAGCACACAGGAGAGAAATTACACGGGGATGTGTCCACAGAGCTTCAATCCACATCCAGGAACACCCACACAACATTCCTCAGAAGCCCTGTGTTACCCACACCACCACACCTGGGTATGTCACATTACCACACCATCCCAGGGCCCCAGGGCTGCCTCATCAAGGCTACAGGCAGCAGTAAACCTGAAGATAATGGAAGTTAGCCGGGTTTCCAGGGAAGAAGATGAGGAACAGTCCCCTCCCTGTACTCCCCAGCCGCGGGCGGGCACGGCCGTGCCAAGGGCAGGGTGAAGGGAGGGAAGGGGATGACGGGGACAGGATGACGGAATCCTCCTCCACGCAGCCCTTTGTTCTGGGAAGTCCCCTGGGATGCTTGGCTCAGGGTGGCCAAGTCCTCCTTCTTCCCCTACAAGGGGAACGGATGAGGGGAGGAAAACAATGCTCTCTCCTCAGCTGCCTAATGGAAGAACAAAAGCACAGCGATCCCTTCCAAAATTGTCTTTTGAGGAACAGATCATCGAGCCTGAAGGCCCAGTATTTTTGCTGTATTTATTTTTGAACTCCAGCCTGGCAGTGTCTTTCTGTCCTTCCTCTGGGCTCTTGCAGCACCTGCCCAAAGCCACTGGGGTCATGCAGGGCTTCCACACACCTCAAAACCCACCAGGAATTTAACACCCAGAACCTGGTAGAGGTGACAAAACCAAAGGCAAGGCCCCAGACAGACACATGACAAACACGTCTCAGATATGGGGTAGAGGGGCAAGGCCAGGTTGGAACAACCCAGTCAGGTGGAAGGTGCCCCTGCCCATGGCAGGAGGTGGGATTGGATGGTTGAGAGGTGCCTTTCAGCCCAAACCATTCTGTGATTCTATGACAGCCCTGTTTCAGCAGGATGCATTTGGCAGGAAGGGTCTGTCCCAACCTGATCCCACTGAAAATGGAGACCAAACTCCACTTAAGCCAAAACCAGTACAAAAAGCACCTTTGATTGTTGAGCAGAGATGGCTGCTAGGGAGCAGAAGGGGATTTCTGCTGTGCTGACTGCTCATGGAAAGTCCCTGACTGGCCCGCAACCGTGGAAAAAAGGGAAAATAGAACTTTAATACCAAGTTGGTGGCAGGCTGTCTATTTTTCTCTCCTGTGACTAGTTACCATGGATAGATTTCTGAGGTCGACCACACAATTGTTCACTGCACTGCTCCTATTAAACAGAGGATGAGCAAATCATCCCATTTGTACCGTACTTTAATTTCCAGAAATTCTTTGTTCGTTTGTTTGCTTAAATTATTTCTCTCATTTGAAGAAACAATGCAGTCTTACGAAGCAAGGGCCCAAATCTCCCGAGTCACCCTGCTGTGGTTCATTACTTCCACACTAGTTAACAAGGCCAGTAATTTCCCTAAGGTTTAATAGAAAATCCTCTTTCCAGAATGCAGAGAGACAGGACATTTTAACAAACTCACTGTATCTGGGTTATGTCGTAGGTGAGGGATATCCTAAACGAGGAACACGTCTTCCTATGGGTTAGCATAAAAAAGCAGGTAGCCTAAATGGAGCTTTTTTCATCCCAAATTACTCCCTCAGCTGGAGAAGGGGACCAGGGGGCCCCACATCCCTTGCTCAGAGTATTAGGTGCAGCTCCACTGGCAATGGGTTCCTGAAGCAACCCAGTCTTCATCCCAAAATAGAGTGGTTGAAGTAAATGATACAGGAGAGGCAGATCCAAGATGGATCTGGGGTAGGTGTGGTGAAAGAGGTGGGCCTACAGCCCTTTTCATAAATGATATGGACAGCAGAACACACAAAATACCTGCCAATAACCTGCCCTTCTCACTGGTTTTGCCAACCTATTTCCATGTCCAAATCAGTAGGAAAAAAAAAACTAAAAGCTGAAATAAATACAGGGGAAGAGCTTGTGAAAAAAAAATCAAATACATAAAACATATAGACAAATACATTTGAATCGCAGAATAATTTTGTTTGGAAGGGACCTTTAAACTAAAAAATATACGGAAGTATATTATATGTATATATATATATGTATGTGTAAAACAGCCCAGTAAATCTCTATTGAGATGCACATGCAGGTGAAAAGCTGGCAGTGCTGCCTTCAGTCACAAGGGTATTTACTCTACAACAGCCTCTGCAGCTCCTTAATATTATTTATACAAACAGGATTTGTCAAGCAACAACTACAGATGTTTGCAGTGAGTCTTCCTGCTTATCCACTGATAATACCGTGTGCCTGGGACAGCTGAACAAATCCTGCCATGTAAATAATAAATACACGTCTGGGTTAATCAGAAAGAGGCGGTGAGGAATCTGGAGATTCCCACAGACTCCCTGCCGTGGGGAAGGAAACAAGAAAATGCCCTGACCTAAGCAGGGGTGAGTCTGGCATACCCACAGATCACAGGGAGATCACAGGAGCTGTTTGCAGATCACTTACTGAGCATGAATAATTCAGGCAGAAGCGGCTGGGAGTATGAGAACAGATAGATGGGAGCTCACTGCCGCTGCTTTGGCAGGTTTTATTTTATCCAGCAAGGCAAAGAAACCACGAGCCCCAGCAAAAATTCCTCTGCCTAGCTTTGCCAGTGTCGTGGCTTCACTGACAATCTCGTGATATGTAGCAATTTGCAGATTCCCAGCTGATGGTGAATGCCATCTCTCTTTCTCCTTGAGGCATTTTTGTGATTATCTGGCTGGACAAGTATGGCAAAACAATGCTTGTTTAAAAAAAAAAAAAAAAAAAAAAAAAAAAAAAAAAAAAAA